TGTTAAATAGTTTAGAGAGAATTGAAGAAAGTTCTGGAGAACAATTCTGCAAGACTGTGACAGGAATGTTGTCTGGACCACAAGCTGTAGACGAGTTTAATTGAGATATGACTTTAGCAACAGAAGCCGGAGTGATTTGAATGTCTAACAATGGGTCAACCTGTTTGACTGGAATGGAAGGAAGAGAATGTCCATAAGATTCAAAAGTGGAATTAGAAGAAAAGTTCTTTGCAAACAGTTCTGCCTTATCCCTGGGAGAGGTAACAAGATCAGTCCCATGAATGAGAGATGGAATGTTAGATCTACCCTTGTTAACAATGTTGTTGAAGATTTTCCAAAAGTCTTTAGAGCCTAACTTCTGCGATAAGATGCGAGATTTAGTGAACTGAGAATAATGGAGTTTAGCATCAGAAAGCACCTTTTTACATCGATTTCTTGCAATAATAAATAGCCGTTTGTTCTCAAGAGAGTTGTTCTTTTGAAAAATATGAAAAAAATGGTTACAATTAGATATAGCAGCCGCACAAGAAGGAGAAAACCATGGAGTAGAATGAGGCTTGACTTGAAACCGACGAGAAGGAATAAAAGCTTCCATTCCAGCCTGAATCTAGGAGGTTATGTAGGAGGCGCATTTGTCAGCTAAGAGAGAAAAAACATTAGCCCAAGGACCATCACGAAGAAAATCACGAAAGGAATCCCAGTCAGCTTTAGGGTAGTAGTAGGTGGTGTGATGATAAGGTGAGCCCAAAAAAGAAGTACGAGAAGAAAGATTTACAGAGATCATTGCGTGGTCAGAACCACCTAAGGGAGAAAAGGGAGAAACTGAACATAAGCTAGGGTCAGAGACAAGACATAAGTCAAGGAGTGAAGGTAAATGATTAGGGTTGTCAGGAAAACGAGTCACAAAGTTAACTATCTGAGTAAGTGATTGAGAAACGCAGAAGTTAAAGGCTTTAGTGCCAGCAGGATCAGTGGTGTTAGAGCCAAGCCATTCAGTGTGATGGGCATTAAAATCACCAACAACAACAATATTGGCAGAGGGGTAAAGAGAGAGGGCATGGTCAATTTGATCAGAGATAACATCTAAAAGAGTGCAATCATGAGAAGAAGGAGAACGATAAAGAACAAAGAGAAAGGTGATAGAGTGAAGAGGTGCTAGGCGAAAGCACATAAAAGAATGGTCAAAGGATTCGAACCTGATTTCACGACAAATAGGGGAATTAATGCGTATGTAAACCCCTAAACCTAGCATGTGACTATTGGAGTCTTTACGAATCAAAGGATAGTACCCATCAACACTGACATCTGAAGAAGGAATTGCAGAACTTAAATTTGTTTCATTGAGTGCAAGCAAGTCTGGTGAATTTTGCAGGAGGTAAGACTCAACTGATGGAAAGTTGCTTCGTAGACTGCGAATATTTGTAAAAGATATATTAAAATATTTAGGTGGTGGGGATGGTTTTTTAGGTTTTAAATTTTTGGTTACTTTGGTCATGATTTGGGTTTAATGAGAACTTGACTTATTCATAGATAGAGCACAGCCTCCTAATCAATGAGCTATGCAGTTGTCTCAGTCCTGTTAATTAACCCTAAGCCGTGACATAGTGCTCCTTATGTGGCCTTGACAATGCACACCAAAAGCATTAACAGGGACACCATCCATGCGCAACATGGCACTGTTAATACTCTGATATTTTGCAGCTGTTGATGGAATCAGCCTCTCTGAGAGCTACCACAGAGTTCGGGAAACCTTACTACCAGCCGGCCTCAGAACCATTAAACTGAGTTTTAGAGCTGTACCCTCATATGGAGATAACAGGAAGAGTTGCATAGCCATTATCAAGTAGGCATAAGCAAAATTCTATGAGTAGAGTCAAGGAGATCCAGCATTCATCATCCTAAGCAGGAAACAATGTAACACAGGTTACATCTACGCCAGCCTAATAGATGAAGAAGGGGTTCGAGGCTGGTTAGCAGAATTTTTCTGCTTACCCCTAAAGTCTTTGCCTAGGAGGCCTTCTACAAGACAGTAGCAGGATGCAGTTAACATCTGCCCAAGATGAGTATTTTTATCGAGACACTATCTCTAGCCTTTACTTAACCAAGAGCCCCAAGGCAGGGGATGTTTAGCTGGATGCAGTTAACATCTGCCCAAGATGAGTATTTTTATCGAGAAACCATCTCTAGCCTTTACTCAACCAAGAGCCCCAAGGCAGGGGATGTTTAGCTGGATGCAATTAACATCTGCCCAAGATGAGTGTTTTTATCAAGACACCATCTCTAGCCTTTACTCAACCAAGAGCCCCAAGGCAGGGGAAGTTTTAGTCGGAGTTTATTTCTCCTAGCCTTTGCATAAGAAGAGCACACTCTGGAAGGCAGCAGGGCTTGTGGCAGGTGGTACTGGGTTACGTGATACCAGTAGCAAGATTGATCTCGATTATCCTGACCTGACCTGGAGTAGTTAAAAGGAGTTACTTCCCGCAACATTACTTTGAGAAAACCAGGCATGACATTTCGGAAGTGCATTAGGAAAAACACTGCATCTAACAAAATACAGGAGTCTAAGGTGAGAGTACGTTTTGTAGTTGGAGTAAGTAGTTAGTTACTGAGCTCACGCTGCATTAGAGTATAAACAGAACACAAACAAACATAGACATAAATCAACTTACGGGTGAGTCAACACCGCGCCAGAGGTTCAGACAGAACACAAACATACATAAAAAACATAAAGTAACTTACGGGTGAGCGAACACCGCGCCAGAGGTTCAGACAGAACACAAACATACATAAAAAAACATAAAAAACATAAACATAAACATAAAGTAACTTACGGGTGAGCGAGCACCACGCCAGAGGTTCAGACAGAACACAGACATACATAAAGAACATAAAGTAACTTACGGGGGAGCGAACACCGCGCCAGAGGTTCAGACAGAACACAAACATACATATAACGTAGATTACAGGTGAGCTAATACAGTAACTAAGGCACCTCCAACTATATTTGGGAAAAAAAAAAAATAATAAAAAAGTAAAATCGTAAGTAAAAAAAAAAATCGTAAGTAAAAAAAAATCGTAAGTAAAAAAAAAAAAAAAAAAAAAAAGTAAAATCGAATATAAAAAATCCAAGTTAAAATTTAAAAAATTTTTGTTTTCAATTTCAACTTTTACATTGACTTGAATTAATTTTTTATTTTTAGCTGAATGCATTCTCTTTCTTTTATTTAATGTATTTAAATACATTATCTCCTTCATTCTTGTAAATAATATAACCATTTCTAGCTCATTATAATATAAAGACTTGTAATTAAAAATCATCGTTAAAAAATATATGATGACATATCAAGAAAACAATTTAATTATTATCAAGTGAATAATTTTTTATATACTTGATTATTAACTTAATAAATATATAATAAACTTATACTAAAATAATATATGTTAGTATAAATATATAAATATATATATATATATATATATATATATATATATATATATATATATATATATATATATATATATGTGTGTATATATATATATATATATATATATATATATATAAATAACTTATTATGTTATGAGAATTTTTTTTTTTTTTTTTTTTTTTTTTTGTTATTCACCTCCTCAAGACCGAGAAGGCCACTACAGACGAGGAGGCTGCTTAACAGTGGTTGTAACCCTCTCTCAACTCTATAACTCCGAAACACGAACCTTAACAAACAAGGCCGCTGCGCGGAGAAACAACTTGATAAGTCTTAATAAAAAAATTCCAAATCTACTATAATCTACTATAATCCATACTATATTAAATTGTGTTTGTAAAAATAGTGATGCAGCATTTTTTTTTTGTTGTTGTCTGTGATCATGCTCCCAAAAGTTTCAATTCAAAGTTATACAACAAATTTATTTGTTATATATTATTTGTATTGTTTATTGAAACTTTTTTTTTTTAATTTTGAGTTTCGTTTAGCTTTAACTTTTTTACTAAATAGACTTTAATATAAACTTAACCAATTCAAAGATATGAGTGTAAATTTTTTGTTTATTAACTTCTGACAAAATTAATATTTGACAAAGAATATTTGATTCCAACGCTTTGATGTTTTTGAATTTTAAATATAATAGTCATTAATTAATAAAATGTGATCGAACCTGTACAATGTCGAAGCTATAAGTGAAGTTTTAATTGGATAAATTTTTTATGCTATATCTTTATTTATAAGATATTTATAAATATTACGCTAGATTTTTAATTTTTTACCATTTGAATATTCATTGAAGTGTTGCAAGTTTTGATATTTTTTTCAAGATATCAGCCTAAAGCTCTTTTGGGAAAAGGTGAAAAAAGAAAAAAAGTTCTAATCTCTGCTAATATGTTCTGCAAATGCAAAATTGTCATTTTTTATTACTTCAACATTGCTTTTAAGCATGTTTTCTCGTTTCCATATTTGATGTTTTTTTGGACTTTAATGAAATTCAAAGTAAAAGTTCTAGTTAAGTAAAGTTTTTTTGTCAAATGGACAGTAAAAAAATTTTACGAGTTGGCGAATGGTTCGACCAGGGTGTGATTATGCAAATATTATGATAATTATGCATTACGTACTTTATTACCAATATAAATTCTTTATTTAACAATATACAAACTCTACTGTTTAAACATATTTTGACTTCAGCAAAAAAGTTTTACTAATAATATTTTCTTTAAAATCAACTTCTCTCTTGCAAGTTCTTCAGAAAAATGCAATTTTTTACTCTCGTAACAAAATTAACAAGGCCTATTTCTTGCTATCGGAAGGGTTTCATGTGCGCGGAGCAATCGCTCCTGCTTCATTAAAAGGCCTATATATATATATATATATATATATATATATATATATATATATATATATATATATATATATATATATATATATATATATATATATATATATATATACATACATACATATATACATATATATACATACATATCAGTTACTTGGTTTTATGGATTTTTTTAGACTTTTGAGTTTACTGTTAGTTCTAGTGCTGGAGATTTATCTGCTGTTGCCATTGACGATATAATTTTGTCAGCAATTGGTATGATGTTGATTTTTATATTATTATTAGTTTCTATTAAGTTTGAAAAGTTTGAAGAAAATAAAATAATATTTTAAGATGATATTTTAACTATATAAATGTACTTTTAAGTTTCAATAATCTAATTGTTGTTTTTAGTAATTTAAAGTTAGTTTAAGTTCCACAGTTGCTAAAGCTCTTAAAAGTAAAAAATGACATATAATTATTATTCTTTGATTTTAACAATTTTAAATCAATATGAGCAGAAAAATTTGTATTTATATATTTTAGTCTTCATCAGTTTTTCATTTTTCAGAAGAGTCTTTAAGTTTTTAGTCAATTTTATGACACCATTTCTATAAAACTTTAAAGCAAATTTCTTAAGGGTGCCAACTTGATTGTAAACCTTGTTGGGAAATTTATAAAGTATTGGGTTGGCTAAAAAGTGTTAAACATTTAGAAAAAAGATTTTTTTATCCCATAACTGATCTTTAACATAATTGTTTATAATTTTGCCAACACTTAGGCAAAGAACAAATGTGTTATGTGACTGTTTAGGCCTTGAATCAAAGTATGTTTTTAAAGATGCTGTCGAATTGCCTCTTTGTTATTGAATTTTTGAACACTATCACAGTTTTACCGATCCTATTCGCTTACACTTCCTGGTGAACTTGTTAAATTATTTACATTTAAAAAAAAGTTTTATTGGGAAATTCATGATTATTTGGAGGCCCCCAAATTATGTAGCCTGGTTGCATTTCCTCCACTGCGCCCCTTAAAAAACTGGCCCTGGAGGTCTACTCTTGAGTTCTTAATACACAGGGGGATGCTTATTAATTTTTGGAAACATTCCTACTCGTCCTACTTTTACTTGTTAACAACAAAAAATTAATATCTCAAAACTAAAAAAAAAGTGTTATTTTATTAGATTTTGATTAAAATTACCACCACCCCACCCACACCCCGTTTATCCCCCCCCCCCCATCTTTGTATTAAGGACTCGAGTGTATGTAATTAAAATTTTAATTGAATTAAATATTGATAATTGCCTACAATTAATATTTTATTCAGCAGTAAAAGAAAACCAAAAAAAAAATATAAGTAAAATATTAGACATTCATTTTATAAAATAGTCTTTTTAAGTTTCTTTCATTCTCTCTTTGGCTTTGGTTTTTTTTTCAAAATAAATTTGTGTTGCTTTTATTGACCATAAACCTGTTTGACCATAAACCTATGTTTAGATGCCTCAGGGCGTTAATTTTACTGCCCTTCCACAGTTTATGAATTATTTAATTATAAAGAGTTTTAGGTTTGATTCAATATCCTCTCAGGTTTTAGATGTTATGTTAAAACTTGTTGGGGGCTTAACCATCAACAAAAACAAAATAGTCATAAGAATCAGCATCAAAATTTATTAACATTATAGATTTCTGCTTAGGTTTTGTTTTAAAAGTAAGGTCTTCTTTTAATGCTCTTATTTTAAGGATTTGGTTGAGGGCTTGGTTTCTTATATTCAGATTTTTATCCAGCAAGCATGCAGTACAGTAAATTTTCTTGCAAACAACAATATGAGTTTCATTGTAAGTTCTTAAAAACAATGCTCTGGATCCTGCTATCTTGAAGCTTGACTAATGGTTTGTACAGAAATGGTTTTGTACAGAAGTTGACAAGCATCTTTGTATTTTCTAGAGCGCTTAATAGCAAACCACATTCCACAATATACTTAAACATTATATTTAGTTATTACAAATAGCTCACTAATAAACCATCTCGGTTTATCATTCCTAACATAAACCATCATTATTCTTAGAGCCAAAGTTAGCCATCTAAAATGACAAACTGGTCCAGGTGTTTTTTAGAAATCTTTTGGGAAACCGATACAGTACTCATAAAACCGACACAGTTACTAAGCTATGAACACTATTATATTTTGTCAAAACATTAGCAGTAGTGTTTGCCATGGTAGCATCAGTTCCATTAGATATAACTACATAAGTCAAATAATTTTGTGATGTTGGCCCATGTTCTTCTGTAAAAGTAAAATGCTGTTCTTTGATTGAAGCAACAGTGTTATACCTGACAGAATCTACTAATGTAGACTTGTCAGTTTTTTCTCTCGATTCGGCCTTTTAATTTTTTAACATCACCAAAGTTGCTGATTCTTTTTATTTTCTCGAAAATTTTCTTTTTGGTTATTATTTTTGGTTTATTAAATTCTCCATAACTCCTTAGTCTATTAATACAGCTGTTGTCGATGCAGCTGCTGCACCATTACTTATTTCAAACCTTACAGCGGCTTTTGCCAAGTTTGTTAATTGAGTATAATTTTTTAACTGGCACAGCTATAGAGAGTCTGGATTCAAATTTTTTACTGTTATCAAATAACTCAGCATCCAGAATTGGAGTTGCATTGAATTTCCACAGCAGCCGACTTAATACATCTTTTTATCTGTTGTTAGTTTCCCCCTTTGTTCTGTTTTTTTATCAACTGTACCAGTTTGAAATCTTCCTCTTGTTCCAATTTTCAATATTTGATCTTTTAAATATTCTTTATCCAACGAACCTTATGTACCTTAAACAATTTCAAACTTTTTTAACAAGATGTTTAGTAGCTCAATAATAAACTTGTTAAAGTTCTATAACCGTATCAAATATATTATAGATTATATTAAAATTATAAAGTGATGTAAAATTATCCAATATAATTTTTTTAATTTAGCATTTCACCCTTACCAATCTGCATTTTTATTTTAAAATATGGAATTTTTTATAAAATGATTTTGGATTAGGCATTAAATTTAAATAGAAAATAGAAAAAAATAAAATAGTTAATTGTTCATTGAATAGAAAAAAAAAAAAAAAAAATTGAAAAATTTTTATCTTTTAGGGTAGATCTCAAATGTTCCCAGAAAATACAGAACATTTGGTTGTTCCAGTCGCAAGGCATATTTTAATTTGTTTCGTATATGGAACATCTGGTATTAAAGATACTATTTTAATTTTTTTTCAACATATTTAACATTATATATTTTTTTAATTAATTATCAATATTTTAAAATTAATTAAGTCTTATTATTATAAAATAAAGTATTTTTAAAGTTATAAAATATTTTTAATCATAATATTCCAAGTTTTTTAAACTTTAATCATCATAATGGTATTGATAAAAACAATTAAGAATTGGTTTGAAACATATAACAATTTTGCATTTTGAACATTATACTGAAAAGTTTAAATCACAACCCTTTTTTGCACATCGTTGTCTTCCTTTAATAAAATCCGGCTAATGGTCCATACTATCATATCTTACTGATGTAGTATGGTTATGATATATGATTTACTTTCCTTTGCTTTGTAGTTGGATGAAAATTTTCTTCAACACTACACTTACTTGCAAGATTTTCTCCAGGTTTTCCTTATCTCAGTTGATCTAACACCATTTTATTAGCCAACATTAAACTATCAGACTTTTGAAATAAAATCTCTAAGCAAATATTCTTATCTTTACCATCTTTATTAACAATTTTGTATATAAACCAAGCATTTGTCATGCAGACACTAAATAAATAGTATACTATGCAATCATAATATTTTGTACTTTTTCGATCAATACAATATAATGAATGGTTCATATCACATAAGTCAACACCGCCCATGTACTTGTTGTACTCTTTAATAATTGAATTAAATTTGAACTCTTTTTTTAGCTTTACCATCCCATAGACTGGTTGCTGATACCAAATACTACCAACATAAGATGATAACAAATTGACAGATTTGTTTTCATTCCATTGAATCAAGCAAATACCATCATCTTTATTGACATGAGATTCAATAGCACCTCTTGGCTTCTTATTAAAATTTGGAGTTAGTTTTATTTGAATATTCAGCCTAACAGTAGATACGGGTTGGTAACCCATCTTTTTCAAACTAATGGTCAGTGAAAAAGATGCAAACCAGTTATCAAAAAATATTTTGAAATTTTGAAATTTTGGTATATTTTTAACTAATTTCATTACAGCAGATGTACCAGCTAGTTCTAATTTTTCCAAAACAGTTGAAGCAGTATTATTAAATTTTGCTTCAACCAGTTTTTATGTTGGTGGTGTAGAGATTTGATTTCCACCTTTGTACCATATTTTTCTTCTTAATTCTTCACTGGAAACTGATGTTGAAATTGGAGGAAGAACTTTATCTGAAGTTTTGGTTTGTTGAGATGGATTATTACAAAACCGAGATACTGTTATAGATGAACGCAGTGATTTCGGAATGAGCTTAGATCGATAAATAACTTGTACATTATTTGATGAAGCGGTGGTGTTTTGTGTTACAGTAGAGATTGGTGCAATATTATTTTCTCTGCGCCAGTATATAGAAAAAAATAGTAAATGATCCCAGATGTAACACCGCATCACATTATGAATTTGAATCCATATTGACACGGCTTTTTTGGATTGTATTTACCTTTATAAGAAGCAATCTGCTTATCAAAACTATTATATTTTTCTGGATCAATGGAATTGCAATTTAATAAAACATGATCATAAAGTTAAAAAAGTTTAAACAATTTATCATAATTGCAATATTCTTTACTAATAAGATCATTTTTAAATGCTATATGGAAATTATTTTTGATATCTTCAAATCGATTTCGTTGCATTGTATCAGCAATTTTTGAATATCTTCTATCCTATTTTTGAATATCTTCTATACATGCAAAAAGATGGCACTTGAATAACTACCATATGGAACAAGATACCAATATAATGCTCAATTTCACTTGGTGTCACGTTGATTGATTTGCCTGTTTTCTCTACAAAGTAAATGTTAGTTGCATTAGCTAAATTTTCAATCATATCTTTTTTTTAAAAATTGAAGAAAAAAATAATTGGTAAAGATAAACCAGTGTTGAATTTTTCATAATCTGGTATCTTTCTTTTTTTTTTTTTTTTGATATTTGACTGTACAATAAAAAGTTGCTCTGTTGTATCATAGTCAAGAGATTCCTCATTGGATGCTTC